GGAAGTGAGATGATGTACCTTAGGGATAAGGATCACTGTCTTGGTTACTTTTTTCTCGTTGCTGGGACAGAAATACCTGACGCCCAAAATGAAGGAAGGAAAGGTTTATTTCGCTTACAGTTTGTGGAGGTTTCAGTCCTTACTTGGCAAGTTACAAGGCAGAGTGGCACATGGCAGAGGGCTACAGCTCATGGTGGCAGAACACAGCAAAGCAACAAACACCTAAAAGAGAGCAATGACCGCAAGCAGCCTCTTCCTCTCCCTTACATATGCAAACTATCCACCCCAGGGCGGGTGTAGCTCTCACACCCATAATCAATCAAACTCTAAAAGCCTGCCCCATGGCCACATGAGGCTTTGGGGGGACACCCAGACACAAACCATAGCAATCACCTCCATAAACAGTAAAATGCATAGATATTGTACACCTTGATAGTCTTTTAGACACATTACACAGTCTTTTAATCAACACCCAACTGACAAGAAAGAATATTTCCACCATTGCAGGTGGTGATTTCCTGTCCCCTTCCACTCAGCTCACCACGAGAGTGACCATTATGTTGACATTTGTCACTGTGGATATTTCCTGTTCTCTCCCATTCTTGTCTATTTCTTGGCTTTTCCTTGTGACTGTGACATGCGTGGCCTTGTGTGGTGTTTAGTTCACCACGTTTGACCTCTGTCACTTAGCTGTAATAGGCATGCGATAGTGTCTACACTAGATGCAGAGCAGCCGTCCAGCTTCCCGCTGCTCTGTTATGTCAGCGTGATGCCACAGTCTATCCATGCTACTGTGGAGAGACCGTGCTGTTGCTTCCCGCTGGGGAAGTTAGGACGAAAGCCGCTGTGAAGATGCCCTCTGGGGACCAAGCGCTTGGTTCTGGATTTATAGTGTGTGCATGACTTCGAGGAGGGGCATTTTTACCCCCTATTCTCGCACGGGGAAAAGGGTGAAACTGGAGTCTGCAGACCTAGGCAGTTGTACATACGTTTCTGGGGAGATGGTTGGATAAACTTAAAGAGAAGCACAGAATACGTTATCTGGTTGCAAGAAGAGCAGGTTAGGAAAGAACACACCTCCACTCAGTGCACAGGACGTTCTCTGTCTCAGCGGGAGTAAATGTGAATTCTGTGACTTAAAAAGTAATTGGCCGGACGTGTGGCCGTGCTGCCACAGGCGTGCGAGGATGCTCCGCTCACCTGTCCACGTGGCAGGGGTCGGAGGTGCGGCACTCGGGGCTCTCGCCAGAACAGACACCACCCTCAATTCCTTCGAGTTAATGCAGAGGAAAATGAGGACACACACGGAGGAATTCTAACAGAAAACTGAGTTCAGCTAAATGGGACCTCAGGCACCTGTCCTTTGAGAAAGAGGCAAAGAAGCTGACATGATTTATCCAAGATGTGGGAAAGATAAAAAAAAATGAGTTGATGCTGCCCGGTGGGCGGGATTTTAGAATAACACTCAGATTGATCTTCCTCTCTTCAGAAGACCCTCCTTTAAGCATTAGGTGCTGTCCTGCACTTGGTGGTAGCAGGGATTCTCAGCTACTTCCTAGAGAGGAAATCATGCCCTTCTTTAGCTAGAAGTTGTCTAGGGACAACTCTCTGCTAGAGGGGTCAACATTTTGTTGGAAGGGCCGGGGATATAGCTCAGCAGCACAAGTGCCTGCTTCGCAAGCGCAAAGGTCCTGAGTTTGATTCCTGGTACCAAAAAAAAAGACATATTGGTGGAATAAAGGTAGTTGGGACAGGTAATTTTAGGACTCTTTTCATCTCAGATATTATATATATAAAAACATATATAGTGATACATATATGTATATGTAGTAAAACCTTGGATTGTAACTTGTTCTGTGAATATTCTACAAGACAAACAATTCTAATAAATTTTAACTTGATAAACAAGCAACGTCTTGCAATACGAGTAGCATGTGAACCCAGGTTCTACTGTATGTGGTGAAAAGGAGTTATAGTCAAAGGAAAGCGCAGGTGTTGCAGGAAAAACTTAGCCCTTCTGATAACTTAAGAGTGAGGCTCGGTTTAGAGACGCTCATGTTGTTGCTCTGCATTGTGATTGCTGTTTGTAGTGGTGTTAGTGTCAGTTCTCGCTTGACCCTCTTCATGCAGATAATGTCCTGTAGCCCCGCTTGCTGTTGTAGGTTATCTGGACAGAAGCTATGTTTTTCACTTCGTAGAGAAGTTTTTCTCAGTGTTTCTCATCTGGAATAATCTTCCCAGTCTGTGCCAGATGTGTTCCCTTGAAACTCACTTTCTCAGGCAGATAACTCCTCATGCTGACAACACCGGTCTGGAGGGTTCCCCTGAGGAGTGGTGCATTTCCAGTCTAGAGGCTTCTCCTGAGGTTTTTTGGGCTTCAGTTTAGAGACTTCTCCTGAGGTGCTGTGGGTTTCTGGTTTGTTATGGATCCAAATAACACCTTCACGAGGAACCGTAGGATTAAATTTTTCTTAGTCCATGTGAAGTTTTTTAAACTGCCTGGCACCAAATAGCCATGTAGTGTGCAGTAGCTCTTATTATTGTCCCTTTGTTGCTTCATCCATGGCCTCCCTGCGCATATGCATCTCTGTGCTCAGTTCTGAGAAATGAAGGGAGGTGAAGTTGTCCAGTTGGGCCCAAGGAGAAAAGTGCTATCATGCAGAAAGACTATAGGAACTTCAAAGTACAGTTTTGGAAAATCTCTTTAAATCTAACCAGTGCACAATGGAAAACCCCTAAAGAACCAATCTAATTATTCAATTAAATGGAACCGTTCTGCTGACTTTTACTACAGAAGGCAAGCGTAATTTAGAAAATGGGGCATTTTAATTCTCTTTTGTTTTCCAATTAACACAATTGCTCTAATGGGGAGTGCCGTGCCTAGCCCATGTTCTTGGAGCATGTGCTCTCTGCCTGACGTCTGTCTCACGGAGTCCCGGCTCCTCACCTGTTGACCCAGAGGCCGGCTTACTGCTGGCGCACAGGGCCCACACTCTGGTGCCAGCCTGCGCCATGCTGGCTGCCTGGGCAGGGGAGCCCCACGCCCCACTTCCCTGGCGGATAATTAGGATGTGGGAGCAAGCAGCTCTCACTTTTCTGCTGACGCCAGCTCACCACAGCAGACCACACGAGTTTACTCTTAGCCGGGAGTGGTAAAGAAAATGCTAAGAACACTGATTTTAATTGGTCAACATGATTTGGCTTGAGTGCCACTGTTTTATAGTCCTGTGTTTTAGATTTCTTCCTGCCACCAGCCGTCAGTTTGTTATGTGTAACAGATACTCTATTTGCTTTTGATGATTACTTGAACAATTTAAGCCTTTTCTGTTTAGTATTTCTTTATTTCATCTGCCCTAATATTTTTTAAAGGCTGACATTTTCACGTTGTGGGGAAGGTATGTTGTCGTCCGAGGGCCCTCAAGCCTGGGAGGAATGACAGGGATTTCTTTCTTCTTTCTGTTTTACTGCTTCCTGTGCTGCTGTGTGTTAGCTTGGAAGCAGCAGGTCCCATGAGCAGTGTGCGCTGGCGGTGGGGTGGTGGGCAGTGCTGTGCATAGTTCCTTAATGAAACAAGACATGTTTTCTCCTGCCTTGATTGGGGTGATTCTTCCTGAATACTGGAGAGTATTTGACTTGTGACTCTAATATGAAAAGGATTGCATAAACACAGAAGATGGTAGAAAGAGGACTCCATGATTTTAAAAAGTGAACTCACTCTTCCAGAAGGTCTTGGGAGGATTCAGGAAGCCAGGTGGGGCTGAGCCAGACGGGATTCCAGGCAGGCACCGAGGTCCTGGTGGGCCTGGAATTCCACAGGCGTGGGGTGTGAACAGTGGCCGCTGGCCAGGGCTCCTTGTCAGAGTCATTCCTGGCCCCCCTCACCACGTCCTTGTCACATAGGCCTGTGTTGGAGAAGGGCTGGTTTCTCTCACTGTCTCCTGGTATCGCTCTTTGTCTGGAATGCAGAAGTCACTCAGTTAGTATTAGAACAGGACATTGTTTCACACAAAGGGACAACGGTGAAGGTGTGACGAGGGCCAAGCAAACTTTGCTGTCTAGGGTTTTTTGTCCCTTTGTTTGTTTAATGAGAAGGCAGTAGGTGGAAATAAAAAAGAACTTACTTAAATTACAGCTGGAAGACCTAGACATGAAAAAACAGAAATTAGGAGGTCTACAAAAATAGAGGATTAGTTTTAGTGATACTTAGAATGTCCAACTGAGTATGACAGTTATTTAGAATTCATAATTGAAGAAACAATTACATCCTTGAATTACTTCAAAGATTTTTGTATTTCTTGAAACCTTATTTAAAGATCAGAGTCAGAGCAAAGAGAAAGCAAGTGTGCTCCTGATTCTGCACAGGGTCGGTTTTCTGATTCAGGCTGGCAGTGAAGTCATCTTCTCCCCAGAGCTGGCGCTGAGCTGGAGGTGGCCACAGCCGGGCCCCTCTGGGGCGCTGGCTGGAGTGAGTGAGCTGGGTGGGGACAGTGGGGCTCTGCAGAGCTCAGAGGAGTTACCGTGGCCCTGTCCTGACAGAGCTGGCCGGTCCTTGGCCCGGGACCCTGCTCTTCCTCTTCGTGATGTACTTAATCCACACGATGGCCCTCGGAGGTTGGCACCTTCCCTCCCCCTACACACGATGAGAGTGAGTGATGCCCGAGGGTCCAGCTCCGGAGATGAGTCTGCCCTCTCCCTCCCTGTCCCCTATCTGTCCTTTATCTTCAGAGAGTTGGCAGGGCTTGGTGTGGTCACAGTGTGGAACCTGGAGCTAGATGACCTTGGGCAGCTAGTGACACCTCTTCAGGTCCAGAAATGTGCCTGCCTACAACCAGGACCCCAGGAAGACCGGGTTTTGTAGCAGAGTCCAACTCAGCAGAGCCTGGCTTTCTGAGTAGCTGTGGTGTCACTACAGGGCTGGCCAGGTGACCCACATTGGAGGGCTGATGACATGTGGAAGGTAAACCGAGTCACATGTTGGTCATGTCCTCTTCTGTCCCCAGGTCCTCCACCGACAGCAGTCCCAGCCCACCAAGGAGAGCTCCCCACCTCGGGAAGAGGCACCTCCCGCACCCCCTCCGGCTGATGACAGCTGTGCCAAAAAGCCCCGCTCACGCACCAAGATCTCCCTGGAGGCCCTGGGCATCCTGCAGAGCTTCATCCACGACGTGGGGCTGTACCCCGACCAGGAGGCCATCCACACGCTGTCGGCCCAGCTGGACCTGCCCAAGCACACCATCATCAAGTTCTTCCAGAACCAGCGCTACCACGTCAAGCACCACGGCAAGCTCAAGGAGCACCTGGGCTCCGCTGTGGACGTGGCTGAGTACAAGGACGAGGAGTTGCTCACCGAGTCAGAGGAGAACGACAGCGAGGACGGCCCAGAGGAGGTGTACCGGGTGGAGGCCGAGGAGGACAGCGGTGACAGGGCCAAGGCTGCACCCGCCGAGGGCGACCAGAGATGATGCAGCCGGCACAGCAGCCTCCGAGGGTTCCTCTCTCTCTTCTTTGCAGACATCCTCCTGGCTTTGTTTTATTTTTGTCCTTTTATGTCTGTCTGATTCTCCTTGCCTGTCATGACATTCCTCTGTTGCGCAGGACATGCCTGGAAACCGAGTCCTGTTCTTCTGCCTTGTCCAGACATCGCCTTGGCAGAGACCTGCAGGGCTCCGCCATCCGCGGCCCGGACCGAGTCCCAGGGCCCACGGGCCGCTGCCCACTGGCCAGTGACAGGGCGGGCTGTGCCGCAGGCCCGGGGGCGGCGCGCGTGTGTATATGTACATGTGTCTGTATCTACAGAGCTCTATTCCCTGCGTGGACAGAGACCCTGGGCCTGCGAGGACAGGCTGCACAGTGAGTTCTACAGAAAAGACTTGGCCACGTGTTAAAACCACTTCACAGGAGTCACTCTGGCTTTTTGATAACCTGCGGCCTGCTCTCAGGGTGGGGTGACTATTTTTTGAACTCCTATTTATTTTTTTGTGTTTGTCCCTGATTTTTTTGAATTCAGTGGCTTCCTATATGGCAGCTCCATGGGTAATTTTAGAGGTATGTATTTAACAGGATAAATCAACACTGCCAAAAAACAAAGAAGAAGAAGAAAGCGAGTGAAAACAAATCAGGGCAAATTAAAATGCTACAAGTCAAATTACTCGTAAAGACATAGCGCACACTTCCGTGACTCTGTAGCGGACTGGCATCTGTCCGTCCGTCCCTCGTTGGTCCTCGCCCTGGTGAGCGGATCTGTGCCGTGGAGGCCAGGTGAGGAAAAGCCAGCTCTGCACAGAACCTGCCCGGCTGCAGCCACGGCAGCACAGGGCACCCGGAACGCACACCAGGAGCCACAGTTTGCCGAGAAATCACTTCCCTGTGGTGGCATCAAATCTTAAACTGTTAAGCCTGCTCATTCCTCGTTGTTGCTGTTTTTGTTTTGTTTTGTTTCTTAAATAGAAAATAGTTCGGGGTATTGTTAAGTTAGAGAAGAGGCCGCCGAGCAGTCCGAGGGGCCCCCTCTCCCCACCTGGCTCTCCTTCCGGCACCCGGGACTCCTCTGCCTGGCAGTCGCCACCACCCCAGCCTCGCGTCTCTGGGCCGCTGCCCGCCCTGGGCCGCAGCCCTGGCCGCAGCGTGGTTTGAACCTTGCGCAGCTCCAGGCAGCAGAGGAAGTGAAGCAGCTTCAGTAGGTCACCTGCTTGGCGCGAAAGGAAATTGCCCCACTGCCCGCATCCGAAGGCCAGCAGCGCCCGTCCCCCTTCCGCGGTGCAGGAGGCGACCTCACCTCAGGTGGCCGGCTCCTGCCACCTCCCTGCCGTTCACAGCCCCACATGGGTGGGTTTTTTGAGTCGTGTCTCATGCAACCTTGTCAAAAACCTCATGCAATATCACTTTGAAAGTTATTTTCTGTTTACCACACAAGCATTGTAATATAACTGTTAATACTATTTATATATTTGAAAGGTATAAAAGGTAGGAGTTAAAAAAACCTCTATGTGTAGATATTAACTCAGAACTTACAATATACAGGGAGAAGACACGTTGCAATACAAGCTAACTCTAGCTGCTCAGTGACCTCTGGAGTTTTTAAAGGGACATTTTCCTGTACTTTTTCCAATAATGACGTTTCAACCTTACCTTGCCATGAGCGTCACGTGTCTGCGAAGGGGCGGCGGCCGCAGGGACGTCGCTCTTTCCTGTCTGTAGATGCCGCAGCTTTAACCGGAAGTCCGCGGTTGCTGCGTCCCGAGCCCCGAGTTACTGCCCACCTTGTCTTCTCACGCTGTCGCTGAAGGTCACTGCTCACACCCTAGGAACCGGTTTTGCCAAGCTCTTACCAGGTGGCTCATCACTCGATGACATCCGCATTGGGTACTTTTACACTTCAACCAAAAATTTATTAGGTATTTTTCAATGCGAAGTCTTGCCTTTTATTTTTTAAGTTCACTGCCAAATTTGCAGTGGTTCTAAGTGAATCTGTGGGCATTTTAGCCTGTGGTCTTGCCAGATCTTTGCGAATTACAATGCATATATGTCTATTTATTCAATATCTGTCATATAATATCTATTTGGAAGAAGAAACTTTCTCTTGTAGTGCCTCTTGACAAAGCACAATTTCCCGCCTTTTTTTTTTTTGTGAAATGAAAAGAAAAAACAAATTGTGTTTTATTGCAGTATCAACAATGTGAATAAGGATTAACATATTGTAAATGTTCTTTTTTCCATGTAAATCAACTATCTTTGTTATCACTAAGTGATAATTAATTTTTAACTTATGTGCATTGTTAGGCTGTTAGAATTTTTTGGTTGTTAAAATAAAACGCATTCAATAAATCTGTGTTCGTCACTGTGTCCCTGGGTGCGGCCTTCTCCTCGCTAACTTGCGACAGAGCCCTCCCTCCGGCAGCTCAGGAGAGTCCACAAGCATGGCCACAACCCCGGCACCCACCCGGGAGGTGTTGGGGTATGTGCGGGGTGTGGGTCTCCTTGTGTGCGTGCATGTGCGTGCGTGTGTAACCACATGCATGCTCACATCCTGGAGCTGGCAACTGGGGGAGCCGTTTATCCAACCATTCTGCCGCATACAGACAAAACTCACATGTATAAAGATGCATTTATGGACTCACTTCTTTATTTTTCTAGTGACTGTTTTCTGTTTATAATTAAAAAACCACAAATGACTGCGTGTCAGGAAACTTTTGGAGCACATATGTCCGTGGTTAATGGACATAATAAAAGTCTTTTCTATTTAGAGCTGGGGTCCCGTAATGTGTGCATAGAGGAATGCCGGAAGGATTGCTGTATCTGAGAAATGTGCGAAAATGATCTTCTAGAAAGTGCCACAATGGAAAAAATTACTCAAAGGATTCAAGTCAGAGGAAAGAGCAAGTGCTTGGCTTTAGAACCAGCAAAGAGAAAGTAAATTAAAAAGTGGTTTAGTTTTCTTTTGATAATGTCTTTTCCTGCTTTTTTCTTTTCCATCTTTCTGCACTTGGTGTAGCTCTCCTTGCGTTTCTTCCGTGCTGGCTGAGAGCCCACGGCCCTGTGAGCATGTCCTGAGGACACGTGGGATCGGAGAGCGGAGTCCTCTGTGGATAGGCAGGTGTGCGGGTGCCGGGGTGACTTGGCTCGGTGGTGGAGGCTGATGCAGGAGGCCACACTGTCCCCAGAGCCGAAGCAGGAAAATGAAGGAGCGGGAAGGGCCACCGGAAGCAGTGTGTAAATCACACCTCTGGGATAGGACCAGGCCAGGAAGCATTTGTGAGGCAGTTTGACCTGGTGCTGCCGAGTTCTGTTCTCCAGAAGGCAGAGAGAGATGCCCAGTCCTGCCCTGCGGAAAGTCCTGTGGACAGAGCCCGGAGCCCCCACCCGCAGGTCATGCTGCAGTCAGTGAATGTTTGTCGAGTGCACTGTGTACCAGGCCTGGGTGACGTGACGTGCGGCCCTTAGCGCTGTCCCTGCGGGGCCCTCTGAATTCACGGAAAGGCGCAGGACAAATCCAGGAAGAGGGAGTGGATGGTGTCCGTGGACAGGGATCCTTACGTGCTATGAGGGACAAGAAAAATTGTTCCCCAGCGGTTGGGTCCATGAGGACAGCCTTGGTTGCACAGAACAGAAAGAAAAGGTAACGATGATCCAGACAGTGTTTATCTGCTTCTCACATAAAAGGAGTCGCTGAGCTGTGCTGGCCTCGTGACGTGACCCGAGAACATCCCCACCCCTCCAGCTCACAGCTGCGCTCTTCCCTGTGTTCGATCTTGGCTTCCCTCCTCATGGTCCACTGCGACTGTGGCTGCCCTTGCCTTCGCATCCACCGTCATCACACCAGCAATGACGTAGCCCTTTTCTTCTCTACTCACTTGGACTTTCTCAAGCCCTACACCTGTGTGAAGGGAGGCTGGCAAGTGTTCCTGCCTGAGAAGAGGAGAGGGTGGATTTGGGCCGGCAGCAGACAGCGCCTGTGCGGAAAGTGTGGAGGGAGGTCTGCAAGAGGCTGACAGGAGGGGTGGGGTGAAGAAGCGTGTTTGCCCTGCGCTCCTCCGCCAACCTTGGCCTCTTGCTCCTCCCCGGCTCAGTTCCTTCCCGGCTGGCTCTTGGTCAGTCAGAACAGCACTTCTTCCCGGGAGCCCTTGCGGCTCTGCGCGGCCAGACATGATGCTCCCAGTGCCCAGCTCATGGCTTCCCCAGCCCTGGAGACCTCAGCCTCACCAGGTGGAGCAGGCTGACAGTGTGACACTGTCCAAAGGCACAGTGGAGAGGGCAGCAGCACCAGGCCTGTGGTGGGGGAGGGAGCCCCAGGGATAGGCCCAGATCCGCCCTCGGGCTCAGTGAGTCATTCGAGGTACTCTCGGTGCACTCACGACTTCTGGACCTTTCCGAGTGGACTGACAAACCTCAGCAGAAGTAAAGCATGTTCATGGAAAGTTTCCGAATTCTCTCAATATGTCCGTAGAACAAAGCATGAAATGACCCCCACTCGGACCTCACAGGTGGTTAGCAGGTGACTACTGCCACTCTCCAAGCACACCCAGGGCGTCCCGGCAGCCTGGCCACTTCCTGTCTCCGGGTCCGGCCGGGGTCTGCCCGTGGGCCCTGGTGAGGCACTGACGGAGTTTGAAGCAGATTCAGGCCGCAGTATTTGCGTTTCAATGGCAACCCCACCATCTCTGGTGTATGCTGTGGGCCTGGTGGGAGGCTTAGGGCTGCGTGGTTTGAAGATGCCTTGAAACCACGTCCTGCGATGGAAGCTCACAGGGCTGTCACAGCAAATTGCCAAATACTGACTGAGCGCTCCTCTGAGCCGCTTTGGGCGTGAACGTTCAGGGTCTCGGTGAAAGGAAGCAGCACTGACGCTTCAGGCTGCCGCTGCAGACCAGCTCCACAGGTGCAGCCACCGGAGACCCAAAGTGGCCTCAGTGTTCAGTGCGGGGCCGAAATGGTTTTGGATGCTTTCAAATTAACTAGAAAATAAAATTTTTGTTTTCCATAACCCCGAGGACTCCCGTTCCCGGAGCCCTGAGCGGGAAGCTGAGTTCACTAACTTGTGTCTGGTTAGACAGTGAGTGCTATGTGAGGGCATTTGCTTTACTCCTGGATCCCACTGTCACTGCGAGGGGAGAGGGTGAGCATAGCTCCGGCAGACTGCGGCAGTGATGACCAGGAGAGCTCTCAGCTCTGTGTGACAGTGCGTGCCTGGAACACGCGCACTCGGGGATGCTGAGGCGGGAGGACCGCAAGCTCAACCTAGCATGGCCAAATTAGGACTCAAAATGAGAAATAAAAGGAGCTTGGGGTGTAGCTCAGTGGGAAGGTCCTGGGCTCCAGTACAACACACACACACACACACACACACACACACACATTCAGGCCACAGCTTAGCAGGGATGTGGTGTCGCGGATGTACCCGCGGGGCTGTTTAAAGCGCAGTGGAAAGGCGTGGAGTCTTCGTGCTTAGCCGTGCAGTCCCAGGGGCGGAGCAGGTGAGCAGGTGGAAGGGACACAGCCCCGTGGGGATGGGTGCAGATTGTTCCCTCAGGATCGTGTCTGTGCCCGGTATCCTGAGTCAGAGACAAAGCATGAAAGACATGGTGAGAGACAGGTGTTTTGAGGGCTGCAAATTCGATCTTGTTAGGAAATAACAGAGCCAGAGTCGAAAGCCGGATCTGTGGGGCTGTAATTCTTGCGCTTCTCCACACCTCACACCATGTCCTGGAACGTGCCATGTCCTCGAATGTCCTAGAAAGGCCGTGTAAGCAAAGCTTCAATTGATTGCCCAGCAGACTGACCGTGTGACTTCTCTTGGCATGCATATTCTCTGTGTGTGTTTTTAAGACAGGGTTTTGCTATACATTGCAGGCTGCCCTTGAGCTCACTTTGTAGCCCACACAGGTCTCAAACTCACAGTGGTCCTCCTTTTTATTTTTTATTTTTTTTTATTTTTGTGGTTCTGGGGATCGAACCCAGGGCCTTGTGCATGCAAGACAAGAACCCTACCACGGAGCCACATCCCCAGCCCTGAGTGCTGGGATTTTAGGCATGCGCCACCACATCTGACTAGCATACATTTGCATAGTCTCGTCTAACTACCGTTTCTGATAAATTTGTTTCAAAGGAAAAATAAAATCTAGTCTTTGAAAAGCACCACACTGTGTTAAATCTGGAATGTCGCCCCAAACTCATGTGTTCAGAGGTGGGTGATTGGGTCAGGGATACTGTGCTCCTCGGTGGATCTATCCATGAGTTCATGGCGGAAATTGCTGTAGGAGCTGGGCCTGGTTGGAGGGGGTCGCTGTGTCTGTTATCTGGATGGCTGTGTGCTTGTCCCAGCACCTCCCTTCTCTCTGCTTCCGGGCCGCCATGACACGAGCAGCTGTCCTCGGCCAGGCCCCTCTGCCAGGTCTTTCCCTTGGGGCCAGCTGGCTATGGTTTTCCTCTGAACCCGTGAGCCAAAATAAACCTCTCCTGTTTTATGTTTCCTGTCTTGGGTATTGTCTCCACAATGGGAACATGACTACTACATTCTGCTAGTATAACTGTCCCAGGAGAATCTAGAAGTAGCTTCTTTGGGGATATTTAAAAGGAAAAGTGGAGAAATAATTATAAAAATATTCCATTAGCACTACAGTAAGTAATACAGAGCAATGATTAATTAAAGGGATTGGTATAATTTATTCACCAACCATTAACGAGTATAGTCCCATTTCTACACAGACAGCATGGGCGAAGGGGGCCTGGGAGACTTGGTGGCTGGAGACTCTGGACTGAGCAGGCCGAGGAGCCCACCCTACGGGGAGGGAAAAGCCTCCACAACTCCCATGTGGAAAGAGGCAGTGAGCGCTTTCAGGTTTTGCAGCTTGAGACAGGTATTTTAGATCACCAGTTTCCTAGTTTCTCTAGTTTCCATGCAGGGCCAACTCACTCCTGACATACAAAATAGAGCTAATCGTGTCTAATCTCAAATTTCCATGATCAAAAAACCTTGCAGAAGATCTAGAATAATTCCTGTCTTCCTTTCTTTCGTCCTTTCTTGGTGTAAAAAGAAAGCAGGAAATTGTCAAATTTTATACACACAGCTGATTTATTTAAAAATAATTCTAGTGAACTTGAAATGGAGTAAAAGTTGATGCTTATGTTTTTCACATAATTTAAAACCTTTTGTGCCCAGTTGCTGGCAAGGTTCTGAGCTGCCTTATGCAAACCGCTCCTTTATTTTCATCTTCCATCTCCCCTCCTCCCTTCCTCCCATTCTCTTTTCTCCTACCCTCCTTAGCCTCTCTTTCCTTCCTCTCTTCCTTCTTCTTGTCAGCACACACAACAGGATTTTCTGTCTTCATTAGAATCCAGAAGAAGGA